GTCCTTGACTGATGACATCATCAGCAGGAGTCACATTTGTTAGCGTCTCCAGATGCACCACAGAATTACAATTTCTCACCGCTTCAGCAGGGCGAGTCGATTCGTTTGAACATAAAATGAACATTTACTTTCCTCAAATGAATAATAAAATAAAAAACAAAACTTCACAGTCATCAACGCGCACGATAACTTCGATAACCTTTGGTATCAACCCGATTCAAGATGGCCGCCACTTCTAACAACAACAACAAATGATTACAGCTCAGTGTTTATTACAAATACTGAGGTAGAAGCTGAAACTGATCCCCAACACTGATCTTTGTCAGCAAAATATCACCTGAAACATTGGACGGATTTAAATGAAACTTTCCAGAAATAATCATCAGATGTAGATGGACTGAGACGATTAAAGTTCAAGACATATTTAGATTTAAAATATTGTATTTAGTGCTTCTTGTTTTGTCACAGGAGTTTTTTTTTATCCTGCCTAAAGACCAAAAATCTAAATCTGGGCCAGTTTATTCTGGTCTTTTTTATGCTGATGAATGTGTTGCATTGCATCGTTTTTCCTGGACACTTCTGCCCCCTGGTGGTCAGGTTCGATAAAAATAAATTAAATGTTTGAGTGGTTGAAGCATTACAACCGCAACAAATCTTAGCTCCAAGACTGTAAAAATCTGCTGAGTTTTAATCATTTCTCAGTTTTTTAAGATCATTTGTCCGTCTTTTTCTGTTTTTAGACACCAACCAAAAGATTAGTGGTTCAGGAGATATTTTGCTAACAGCACAGACAAACAGACATCGTTTTTCTTTTGCTCTACTTAGTTGAACGTTTGAGGAAACAAATATGAAATTTAACTTTCTAATTTTTTTTTTACATTTTAATCTCGTTTCAGACCTGTCCACCAGGTCTAGATGCAGAGGACAGGCCGGGCGGTCCGGTGTGAAGGTCAGGAACGTCTCGCACGTCTTCACCGACGTCCAGCTTCTCCGGCAGGATGGTCAGAGGGAGGTGACTTCCTGTGTAGAGGATTGGGAACATCCTCTCGGTCCAACAGTGCCTGATGTTGGAAAGGCGTTTTTTTGTTGTGGCATCATAGAAGGACAGTTGTCCCTCGTCCAGGTCCAGGAGAACTCCGATCTTCTGCAGCCGGGTCTCCGGGTGGACGTTGGAGCTCTTCAGGTGGGACAGCATGGTGTATTTGCCACAGAGGAAGCGTACGGCCCACAGTCCCTGGCGTACATCCATGACCCCCTTCTTCTTGAACGTCTCTGAGGCCACGCCCACAAACCACATATGGCTGATCCCGACATGGACCACCCAGCTGTGGGTCCCTTTRGTGAAGCCCTCAGAGCCCAGGACCACGTGGGGACAATCGAACCTCTCCGGGACGTCAGGAAGCCTCTGATGTTTGWTCTGCACCTGGGTCAGACGTCCGGACAGTTCTGCTTTGGTCGTGTTCGGGTCCAGAACCACAGGCGTGGAGGACACCGTTGCCCTCATCCGTTTCCAGGTGTTGAACTGCAGGTTGCCCAGATGTTTGGCCTCGTCTACGAGAGCCCCCGGGTCAGACCGGGGGCGCTGCAGCAGGCGGCAGAACTGGACTCTCCGCCGCTTGATCTTGTACCCCTGCAGGACTGAGACGTCGTCAGAACTCAGGGACTTCTTCGTGGAGCTGATCGTCCCCGACAGAGACGCCACCTTCCAGTTCAGGAGCTCCGCCTTCTCCTTGACCGCCCGACTCTTCTGCTCCTCCTCCTCCTTCAGAACGCTCATCCTGGTCGCCTCTTCTCTGTGCAGAAACTGGTGCATTGCCTCAAACGCGCCCCTGATCCTGGTCTTGGACCGCCGGGCCTGGAGCCGGATGTGTTCYGCAGTTAGATCCAGGTTTCCCTTCGCTTCTTGAAAAAGCTTCAGCTTGTCTTCCAGGGGGGCCAAAGACTTGCGCAGCTCGTCCCTGCGGTCCCGAGCGGCCTCATTGACGGGCCTGAACCTGTGGTTTCTGTGGGTCTCCGAGTCCCTGCAGACCAGACAGACCAGCTGCTGGTGGTCCACGCAGAACAGCTTCAGCTTCTCTGAGTGCAGGCCGCAGAGGTCCACGGCGTCGTGTTCTYGCGCCTGCAGAAAGGCCTCGCAGGTGTTCTTCAGCACCAGGTTGCGGGTCGGCGCCGTCCCGGCAGAGACGCAGTTACAGACAGGACACTTACGTTGTCCTTTCTGCGTCCACCAGCCTCTCAGGCAGCTTTTACAAAAACTGTGGCTGCAGGACAGGAGGACGGGGTCTCTGAAGATGTCCAGACAGACAGGACAGGAGAGCTCCGCCCCTAACACGGAGGCCATCTTTGAGCTGAAATCACAACAAACAGGAAGTCAAAACATGAAACCGGCTTTTAAATTTAGCCAAAACAGGAAGTGACTGATGGAGCAGTCTGCTCTGCTCTGATGATGAAGATGAGAGAGCAGCAGTGGGTCAGTTCAACAGGCAGAAGCTCATMGTATGGCAGGCASATATTACATTTATTTGGCTTCACCACACTTACATTCCAGTTATGTGAAATTGTTTTATGACAGGACTCTGTGCAGCTTAAAGTCCTGTCACACTATAACATGTTAGGCAACTTAGAATGTTTTATGTCTAAATGACTAATTTTACTTGAAGTTCTGTTTATAACATCCACTTTATTTTTATATTGTTGAAAATTTGAAAAATGTTTTTTTTTGTTGAAACCATTTTGCAATATATATAAAACATTCTGTTATGTTCATTTTCACTACAGCAAACATTATGAT